AACAGGGTTACGAAGCATATTCACTACCAACACATAATTTAACTAATCAATCATCCTACCGTACGTTCTGTCTATCAACCCGAGCACTTCATTATTAACGGAACATTGTTATCAATTCTTGTTTACGTCCTGGTGTAATCCAAAGCTTCTAACAAACAATTGTACAATGTAACGTTTGATAGATAACATGTAGGATGTCTGGATCATCCGAGAAGTTATCGAATATCGTAGAGAGTAACGTTAAACAGTGGATTGTTGGCATTTTCTATTTTATACGACACTGGCTTCGCAGAAAATTCCTAATAATAGAGGAACCCAAGCGGGGATTTACTAAAGCGCGGCAGATTAATATACAGGGAGATACCTTGTACCCGGTTAAGTACCTCCACCAAATATGAGCCCCATATATAAGGCCGCTTGTGAGGGATAACGGATCAGATTAGTAAAAAAAAATTGATCATCAGAAAGTCTCGAGCGCGTCAGATTAAGGTAGGGTGAGTTAATTACCTGCTAAAAAGTGTATATTCCAGTAATCTGACAACTTGAGAGTGACGTAAAGAAAGGGGAGGGCAGCAAAGTTGTAAAAAAATAACGTCATTTCGACATTCTCGAGCGTAGCTAATTTTTTTTTTTATTTTGGAGGAAATAATTCAAGGATAACGAAAAATATATAATCTGATGATTTCCGCAAACCAAAATAACAAAAATTCGTCGATACAGTTTAATGCGTACAGCTGTGTGATACCTATATTTCCCTCTCCTAGTTTCTATTCCTCTATTCTCTATTCACTTTTTCTCTATCTATTACTCTCTCACTCCGTCCCCACTCTGTTTGTTGCCATGACAGCTGATCACAGAGACTCGTTCGTGATGAAGATGAAGATGATGATTAATTAATCAATTGATTAATGGATGTAGCCGTTAATACTACGTGGTAGGAAATCATAATGAAGAAAAGAGAAATTAAACTTTCTATGTTTTGATTGACTTGTGACACGCTGCATTGTTTTTTTTTTTTGACATATGCAGCCGTTTTTCTGCAATTTTGGTCTCCAATCGCTCCAATATCGCTAAATAATATTCACTATTGATGGTATTGTCACGAATCTGAAGCCACACCTGACTGATATGCCGGCCGACTCAGCGACAAACACGTGACATCACCGCGAAAGAATGCAATCGGGAATCGCCGGTAAAATTCTAGGACCGAACCGACTACAGATTTCTAGAAAGGGCCGTTACATTATATAAGCACGTCTTCCCGACCCAAGAGGGCAGTTCAGAAAGTGAATCGAGCGGCTAAACAAGAAATTCAAATAGTGGAAATAAAATTAAGCGTTAGTTGCTAAGTATTATAAATAAATTAGTTTGTGATTAGTGAAATATAGTTGTAACAAATTGATTTATTAATTTGTTTCTGACTTTTCAAGCCATTGCTCAGTTCGATCGGTATTTTTTCCCATCAAGAAGCAGTGCGAAATTAAAACACGAAATTGTTTTGAATTCATTTTTTTTAAATAACAAAAGTAGTGTTACTCTTAGCACAGTAACTCACAAACTCATGAGTAGAATTTCAACAGCTGTCTTTTAAAGGTAAGTACTTACTGAAAAAGCAGTAAATGTGATAAAACAAGCACCATTTATGTGTTAGTCCCGAAACTTATCAGGCCATGTATGGTCAAATATGAAAAATAATCATGAAATAATTCAAATTAATTTAGGCGAATACATGAATTCCAACCTCAACTTCAATATTCTAAAACAAAATCACTCTGTATTCAGAATTCCATCTTTTAATAATCCAAGTTCATAGACATCAAAATTTATACGATCACGGGACATAGGAATATAAAACAATCTCCAAATACGCAAACTTTGCATATATTGCATACTGAGCATTTTACCTTTACAGTGACCGGATCAAAGTTGCAATGTCAACGTACAAATCTTCATAAATATTGAGGGAGGTCAAGTGCATAAAGAGACAGTATTGAACAATTAATTCAGTATCTATTGATCTTTAGAAAAGGTTCCAGCAATGCAGCACATCTCGTTTTCTTTGATCCTGCTGGGTGGCAGTATAAAGTTTGTTTTTGGTGATTTATTGCATTTTTGATTAACATTTTAGTGTAAGTTTATTCCTGAAGTATTTTCACCGTTTCGTTACAATAAATATATAATTAAGTTTTTGAATGAGTTCTTTCATTATTTGGATGAATAATGAATGGGGGAAACAGCGAATAAAATAATATCGTTAATAAGCCAAGCGAGTACTGAGTTGTGACAATATCATAATTTCACTTTTGAAACCTTTGTGCAGCCGTATGGGTATGAAGTAGGTGTGGAATTTGAATTTTTGTCGTTATTTTCATTATTGTCTTCCATTATTTTCGAAACTGCATTCTTATTAGGCATTATCCCAATTCACCTATTTTTAAAGTTCTTCTTGAGACTTCTAACCATTTCTTTCTTGATCATTTTTGTCTTCTTCCTGACTTACATAGAAAAAAATATAGATTGAAATGTTTGAAGCAAATGTTCTATTTCTAGAGAAGTGCTATTTGAGATTGTTCAAAATTATTAGGGTTATATGAGGGTTGTTGAACATCACTTGATGATGATCTACACATGTTTGTAACGAGTTCATTTGAAAATGAATAGCTTTCTTCTTTTCTTTTGAAGAGAGTAGAGAACCGAAACCTTTCTTTCCTAAAAGAAGGTGTCTCATTGCGGAAATATTTTCCAAAGATTGAAAGTAATGAACAACAGATAACTTCACACATCTAGAAAGGATGGATTACTATCACTCTGTGAATAACAGAACTTGTTATTACTGTATAACTTTTGAAACAATCGTCTTCTCAACTCGGCAAAAATAAATATGTACTGTTTAACTCTGTTCAAAATATATCTCCTGTTAAACAGCTGTCGCTCCTCCCCTTCCGCGAAAGACAACCCTCAGAAGTCGAAACTTGTGAAGGATTAACGAGGCGTCACATTTCAACGTGCGGTTCCTAGAACGTACTGATCTTTTTGAGAATTTCAAGAAACACAAGCAACTTATCGGATTCTACTAGGATCACTGGACTGAGGACTGATTAAATGTCAAAATAGTTATCATTCGTGTTCGTTTCCTATCTGCGAAAAACTTGTAACATACACCTCGTGTTACAAAATTGCTTGTTTGCTATTATTCTACATAGTTTCACGTTTTATTCAACAACGCATGCATAAAAATTGTAATGTAGTAAATCGAATTGGACACATTAAAAATTTATTACTGCTTCGCATTCAGAATCGAGTCATAAATTTTTTCTGTGTCAAGTTCGGATTTGATTTATTCGAAAATAACGTTGAAGTCATTTCTGTAACGGGTATTAAAAAAGTGAATTTCACAATTTTCTCGTAAAATATCCATAAAATTTCGTTCTAAATGGTTCATCTACTAGGTGAAGGTTAACTACTCATTTATTTTTTAACATATGGTAACCAAGGACAGACCAGTCGAGATATTCGATTCCAAATCTAATAAAATACACTTTCAACATTCAATTATCTTATACTGTCAACAAAATTTGAAACTTCAAACTTTTGGATAACAACTACAGAAAAAAAATCGGTTAAATTTGGTCAATTTTTAGAGCATATTCAAATGACGGGATTCGATAAATTCTCATTGAATGTGATAGTGATAGTGAAGTTTCTTTCGAAAACGTTACCGTATAATGGGTGATTATTTTTTCTGGTCCATATAAACCATTGGTGATGGTTTCCCAGAGACGAAACATCGCATCAAAACTCTGTAAACGACAACTTGTAAAGCTTGACAGTGGCACTGAAAAAATATTTTATCAACTTTGTATCTTTGACAGTTTCCGATTTTGACATGCAGAAGACCATTGATCAAATTTATTCACAAACATTCATCACAAACACCCGTGATGATATTCAACAATTTTCACGATGAATAAAAAGTGAGTGAGTACAAAACTTGAATGAATAAATGATAAATTCTAGTAAAACAGGTTGGATTCAGAAAAAAAAATTGCAATACAATACAACAGGAAAACAGGTTATAAATATGTTAATCATTATTATTATTTTATGAAAACAAATTCACCATTGATGAGCGAATAACTTTCTGTAGGTCATTGTTTTCCATAGATTCCAGCAAAAAAATTACAATAAACAACAACTTCAACCCAAATATGATTCATTGAATCCAGAACAAATAATTTTGCAAACAGCCCATCTACCAAGTATACCCCTACGTGAAAAATAACAGTTACACCCACAAAACACGAACAACAAGTCAAAAATGAACAAAGAACAAATCAGGGGTCTACAAACTAAATGTTGATCGTACCCAAAAGTTTATATAGTGTTGTAAATCATCCCTTGGAAAAATAACGTCAGGCGCCACTGGTCGTCGTAAATCAATTGTGACGTGACCAAGATCGCGCTCAACTCAACGTGCCCTTCGCGATTGTTCTAGTTAGATCCCGCGTCGTAGACTCCCAGCTAGTTCCCTATTGGCTTCGAGATACGTCGATTGCCATATGTAAACACTACCCACGCGCATATTTGGAATAGTCTAGTGGACAGTGCCGTACGAAATGATCTAATAAGGCGATAGACATTTGAATATTAGTTTGAAATTTCAGTTAAAGTGCTTGGTTGTATATTAATTGTATAGTATAGTCAATCGTCGGCATATCCACGGAGAAATCGTGACACTAGAAAGAAATTCAATAAATATCAAAACGGGGATCTCCGAATATGAAAGAAGTTTTGAACTGGAGAAAACCAATTCCACCTTTTAGAGAACAACCACGATTTTAACATGAACACTACAAGAACCATAAAATTAGTACTTATCCACATAAGTTCAACCATATTTTCTATTTCAAAGAACACATAACGACAGAAATAAAAACAATAGTCGGGATATTCATCTGTATCACCCAGTATAGTCTTATTTTGAACTAGACAAAATTTACCTTTATTGGTGGCACTGGTAGAGTTGTCCGTCGAAGAGGCGGCTAACTTCTTGGTCACTCGCACTTTTTCTTGATGGCTCTGGGAACTGTCCCTTTGGATGTGCTCCAGGAGCGCACTTGGGGAGCAGCCCATACCACCCAGACACCCGCGCACTCCACTGACCGCCCTCTACGAGCCTGCACTCGTAGACGCCTGAAACGAAAATAATATTGAATTCTAGACTGTAGCTGGTTAATTTTGCAAATTTTGTTACGTTTACGGTTTTTTAAAACAAGAGGCTCCATTCGATATAACAAAGAAATAATTATATAATAATATAACGCCTTGAACGGGCGGCGGCTCGTCAGAGGAGGCAAGGGAGGCTTAGCCTCCCCATAAAATTTGAGGCTATTCATCGCAATAAATTAAAAGATATTAACAAACAATTATGATTTTTTTTTCTAAAAATGCTTGGGTATCATTTTCAATACAAATACATGATATGCCTGAAAAAACACTATCACTCACTACGTAGTACGTACTACACTGTATCCTGCATCAACAAAACTCTCACCGCAAATGAACGAATAACGAATAAACCATCAACCCGAAATAATAAATGACATACGTTACAAGGGAGCCAAGCCTCCGACCGCTTTAAAAAACACAGGCTCCACGAGATCGATCCAACCAGCGACATATGTCCCGATTTGTAATTTTAGTTGCAGAAATTATAGCGTTAGAGGCGGCTAGCCTCCAGTTGGTCTCCGTTATTCGTTACCGTATGACTGCGTTTGTTTTTTATTTAATTATTCGGACGGGATGCCGTGACGGACCGGAACTGCAAAATATTTTGGTAAATCGTTTTAGTGTTTCTTGATAATATTTGTTATTTGTGTATAAAAGAGGCAGTATTGTATTATAGCAGTGCTTTTTGGTAATATTTTCAATGTGTTTTCAAAGTGTTTTCTTTCAATTTCGAGGTGTTTTCAGGTTTTCACTTTTCGGTAAGTTTTTTTTTCCATTTATTATGCATAGGTTGGACGAAATTAAAAAATCTAACAATATAGTCCATTGGTTGCTGACAGATAATTTTAAGTCTTTATCTTATGATAATAATTTTTACATTATTGAAACTCAGGGTAGGACTCAACCAAATTTGATTTCAATTAAAGCGTCAGATAATCGACAAAATCGAGGATTTAATATTAGTTGGTACTTTAAATGTGATTGGTTAACCGGCTCCATTAAACGAGAAAAACTTTTTTGTTGATCCTGTGTTTTATTTTCCGTACAAACCGAACACCAAACGTGGTTTAAAATACGATACTCCAATTTAAAAAATTTACCTCGTTTTACAGAAAGACATTTTAAATCTAAGGAGCATATATCTTCGTCTTGTAAATTAAAATTGTTTAGCAAACAAAATATAGGTTAGGGAAAATCGGTCAAATTTAAAAAGACTCATCGATATTACGATTTATTTCGATTCCCAAGAATTAGTTTTTCGCGTACACGATGAAACCGAAGATTCGATTAATCGCGGCAGTTGCAAGGAAATTTTAATGTTATGGGGCAAATATAATTCACAATTTGGCACTTTTTTAAACGGTAGCGTTTTCTCTGGCACCTCAAAAACCATCCAAAATAAGCTTATAGACAGTGTGGCATATCTTATTAAGGAAAATATAAGCAAGAAGATTGAAAGTATTCCTTTTTTGCATGGGAAATTGATGAAGCTACTGATATTACATGTACATCACAACTTTCGATCGTTTTTAGCAATTTTTCAGAAAACTGTTATATTAGAAGAGAAAAGTATTATTTATTGACTAAGAAGAGTTCATTTACATTAAATAACTCGAACACAACCAATTTTCCTTGTTTTCGTTTTTTTAATGGTCAGTTTTATACTTATTATTTTCGATAATACTCAATTTTTGTTTGCATTTATGCAAATATAACGTATTTTGCTTTAAATAGGTGCGGAACCCCAAAAAAATTTCGCGCCTCCGGCGGACTTTTCTGTGTGTGTATAGTCTTTATGACTTTAGCCTCCCCTGTTCTCCAATGCACGAGCCGTCACTGGGTTTATGCTTCCATACGAAGACCCTCAGTCTAAAAGAGGAAGATCGAGGAATTGGGAGAGATTCGGGGGTGGGAGTTGATTTTCAGCAGAACCTCGGAGACACCAAATAAATATCCGAAAAGATTTAAATCTGTTTAAAGTTGAGAAACTTGTGCGAGCTAAGGACTAACGAGGTCTTACCTTTTAACGTGTGATTCCTAACACGGTTGCAGAATCATTCCAGCTAAATTCTCTCGAGAAAAATATCTGGTCGAGGCGGGAATCGAACACACGACCTTTCGATCGTGAGTCGGACGCACTACCACCGCGGCCAATTCCACATAAATGTATAGGGTCTTTCATTGATCGATTCTTAGCTTTGAATTTAAATGCATTGAACGCTCTTGGATCTCATATGGATTGATGTCGTTCCAAATTTGACCATTTTGTTTCTTCACGTACCCATTCATTTAGAAATGGGCCTCATATCTGAAGATGCGATGCGAAATCGACTGCCTCAGATTCTACTGCACACTCTCACAGACATCGCCTATGTTTTTGGTAAATCTTGCCTGTCGTAGAGTTACGGGTGTTGGTCGACCGTTTACTGAGCCAGTGGACTCAAATTCATCCACCACATTGCCAACAGTCCTCTCGGTAGGACGCGCAGTACGCTGCCTAACAGAACACCCAAACAACAACATTTGCACATGTTGTCGGATGTTATATCCGTCTATGGCGATTTGGCAAAACAGACTGATCAAATGACAACTAATTTGACAGATGTAGCTTTAACATGATGGCTGTCAAAGTTTAGAAGTCCCTTGACCCTATATTTCCATTGAGAAACTTTTGTACTAGGGGCTTGACAGCAGGCAAGTTACCGATGGATGGTGAGGAAAGAACATGAGACAATCGACTTTGGATAAGCATAACTTCCTTACGTTAATCTGGAACCGCCACCAACTCAACTTATTTTATATATAGCTGTACTGATAGCTGATGTACTGTAGATCAGTTCATCATGTACATATTTACATCTCAATAAAAATGCTTTTGTAGCGTACGACTATTATTTTAGTAACTGTAAAACTTAGGTCAAGTGTCCAACCTCATATACAAGTCAATGAAAATATTTTCGGATAGTCAGGCGGCTTCGGAAGCTCTTGGCTCCTACCAAGCAACGTCTAAATTGGTAGCAAACTGTTAAAAACGACTCTCCTCGATAGGAAGCCTTAACAGTTTGTCTCTAGTCTGGATTCCTGGCCATACTGGCCTGGAAGGTAATGAGGTTGCTGACTCCTTTGCAAAGGAAGGTGCTGCAAGCAGCTTCATCGGACTGGAACCTGTCATTGGCGTCGCTTTAGGCTTTGCCAAACAAAGATTGAACACCTGGATGGCAAGAATATTCATGGACTTCTGGCAGAATCTTCCAGGCGTTTATTCACCCTTCAAAGCTTGATGCCGAACAGTTGTTGGACTACAGTAAGGATGAACTACGATGTCTAACGGGCCTTTTTACAGGTCACTGTCATTTGAATCATCATATGCAGCGACTCGGACCGTCGGAAGACAGTGTGTGTCGCCTCTGTTTGGAAAATGAGGAAACAGCAGAGCATGTACTTTGTGCCTGCCTCGCTGGGGACCAAATTAGGATTTCAGAGTTCGACAAAGCCGTACTCTTATCATCTGACCTGAAAGACCGCCCAACATACCAACTAATCGGCTTCGTTAGGAAGCTGGGTTTATTTGGTCGAGTGTGCATAGGTGTGAGCCACAATAAACCCTTGCGGGTTGCGACGGAGAGTATTCGACTCACTCACTTTGGACCTAACCTAATCCCAACACAAAAGAAATGAAAAAGATTTATCATCATTATCAATTCAAGGATATATCTATACATTCAACTCGTAAATACAATGAAAATTTCTGCTATCAGTTGAAATCAAATCGCTAGTCCTACATATATCAAGTACCTAAAGTAAATCCATCAATATTAAATAAGATTTCAATCATTTTTCTGTTTCTCTCCCTCTGTCTCTCTATAAATATTTGTGGCCTTCGCTTTCATGTAGTCGCTTTGGCCAAACAATCATTTCTTGGAAAATGTCGTCTTATATCAACTTGAAAACTCGCAAACAGAAATATCGCATATTCCTGGAAACATCCAGACCCGATGATCAAAGAAAACACCGAAACAATGCGAAACATTTGAAATGAAGGTGTCGATAATCCATCGTCAATGGCAATGCAAAAGCAAACAAAGCTATCCAATCTCCAACTAACACGCCCGTACTTTCGTTCCGTTGGAAATGAAAACCCTCTATCGAAATTTCAGAGCGGAAGTTTCCGGATGACTGCATGTTGCTGGAGAATTGCTTTGGTCGTTACGTTAAACGTTGGAAAGTGAGTCCATTGTTTGTTTGAGGATTACCTGGATTGATTGAGGTTCGAGGATGTATTGAAAAATTCTCAGCTTACTACAGAAACGAAAAAAAATTCAAAGGTAAAAGTAATTCATTATTATTATTATTAACATATTCTCAATTGCGATATATGCAGCATTTATTACTGTGAAGCTGCAGAGCATCTAGACCTCACAAAATCATCTTGTTATCTAAAGCTGGACTACACAACTTTTTTTTAATTATCGTTGAAAAAAAAATATATCAGAGTTTTTTCAGTTCAGGAAAGACATAATACTCAGGCAGATCTAGTTCTGAGAATTACGAATAGGGTACTCACTAGCTGTGCCTCTGAAGATTGGATGCGCAATAGATCAGCCGACGGAGTGGGACCAAAGCTCATTAACATCGAGGAACTCTTGTAGTGAACATCGAGTTAGTACAGAACTGCCCTATACAGTACTGTTCCTGAGTAGAGAGGACTGGGCCCTCTGAATAAACGCTTTAGAGTGAGCCAATCCTGGAAGATTCTGCCAGAAGTCCATAAATCTTCTTGCCATCCAGGTATTCAATATTTGTTTGGCAAAGCCTAAAGCGATGCCAATGACAGGTTCTGGTCCGATGAAGCTGCTTGCAGCACCCTCCTTTGCAAGGAAGTCAGCAGCTTCGTTGCCCTCCCGGCCAGTATGGCCAGGAGTCCAGACCAAAGACAATCTGTTAAGTCTTCCTATCGAGGAGAGTAGTTTTTCGCAATTTGCTACCAATTTAGACGTTGCTCGGTAGGAGCCAAGAGCTCCCACGCCGCTTGACTGTCCGAGAATATTTGTATTGACTTGTGTATGAGGTTGGATTCTTCCAATCTCTCCGTGCATAATTCAATAGCGTAAATTCACGCTTGAAATACAGTTGCAGTCCTGGGTCTGCGACTGAAAACTCCTGCACCAGTATTACTTGAAATTCAACAAATTTCACGTCAACCTCTTCTCAGGGGTTTCGAGGTGATCTAGTTTTATGGATTTCCCATCGACTAAAGTATACCAATAGTGACTTTGCGTTATTTAAACAATGATGACTGAGAAAGAATTTGTTGTCTCGGTCAGAGAATCTTCCAGTGTCAGAGTTTTGTATAAGCAAGAGTATGAACTACACTACTTTTAGTATGCAAAGTTACTTTTTAAAATATATTTCCGATCTAGGTCCTGATTACGTAAACTTTTTTGATGAAACGCGAATCGTTAGAAGTGCCACAGTCCTGGTGTGTGGAAAAATATTTGAATTCTCAAATGGGGATTTACTCGAGCGTCATTAGGTTGCAAATCTTAGCTGATAAGAAGAAAAAAATGTTACATAATGTATACCTTTTCATCGGTGGGGAAAGCTGCTATAGATTAATAAATATGTAAAAAAAAACTGTTGCATGGATATACTCGAGCGCGTCAGATGTTGATACCATCAATGTCCTACTTATTTTTAATAATGTTGGTATGTTAATCTGATCGTTTGCATGATGTGGGTGGTTGTACGTAAGGGTTAAAAATGAAAAAAAATAATTGAGCGGGTCAAATTTTCTGTGGAGGTGTTAAATGCACCAAAAAAAGCTCTCATTCATTAATCTGACGATTTCGATCTGACGCAAACTCACGGCCATTATTATAATGTGCAAAAAAAAATTGTCATTTTGAAATACTCAAGCGCGTCAGATTAAGATATATATGGTTCATCTTTATGTTTTAGACGTGCTGTCTTATAATCTGACGATTATCTAGAGGAATTCGCCTAATCTGACTAAAAAATAATGTTTTATTTTTTTTTAATCATTGAACTTAATTAATTGAAAAGCTCAGTAAATAGCATGCAAATTAATAAGTGTATGTTTTTTAAGTAGAATACTTGTATTTATAAAAAAAATGAAAAATATTCAAAAAAATTTAATTTTTTATAATCAATTGATTAATTGATAAAGAGAAATTAAGCGTTCTATGTTTTTTACCACTTTTATTTGTAACTAACGTTACTGCAGCTACTTATACAATATATAAGTTTGAAAATGTCCTTATAGGACGAAACTGCAGTAACGTTTGTTACAAATAAAAGTGGTAAAAAACATGGAAAGTCTCATTTATCTTTTCTTCATTATGATTTCCTACCACCTAGTAATGGCTTCATCCATCAATTAATTGATTAATTAATCTTCATCTTCATCACGAACGAGTCTGTGTGATCAGCTGTGATGACTTCATGGCAACAGAATTCAGAGTGGGGACGGAGTGAGAGAGTAATAGATAGAGAAAAAGGAATAGAAACGCGGAGAGGGAAATATAGGCATCACGCAGCTTCACGCATTAAACTTTCTCGACGAATTTTTGCTATTTCGCCTTGCGGAAATCGTCAGATATCCTTGAATTATTTTCTTCAAAATGAAAAAAATTAGCTACGCTCAAGAATGTCGAAATGACGTTTTTTATACAACTTTACTACCCTCTCCTTTCTTTACGTCACTCTCAAATTGTCAGATTACTGGAATATACACTTTTTAGCATGTAATTAACTCATCCTACCTTAATCTGACGCGTTCGAGAATTTCTGATGATCATTTTTTTTTTTAGTAATCTGATCCTTTATCCTTCACGGGCGGCCTTATATATGGGGCTCATATTTGGTGGAGGTACTTAACCGGGTACAAGGTATCCCCCTGTATATTAATCTGCGGCGCTTCAGTAAATCCCGAAATCCCCGCTTGGGTTCCCCTATTAAACTCGAAACCAGCTTCTGAAAACTAGCTCCTTGTTACAATACATAGTAATGAACTACAAACAATTACATTGAATGTAATATGGCATCCCAAGTAATCTCAACTTATATATTTTTTGCTGCAAGCGTAAGATGAGCCTTATCGGTGGAGCGGAAAATTACTCCGGCTATTTTATTTCGCAAAATTTTTTCCGACTCTCAATCTTTCCACTTTCAGGACGTCAGTCTTGAAGTCGGCAGTCAACTCGAATCTAATTGGATGAATGTTTCCACTTTCCGGTGGATTTAGTTTTTCCATTTTTCACGGATGACGTAGAGAAGTAGATGAAAATCTTGGGGTAAATTATGAATCGCCCTCGAACGGGGGTGTTGTGATGGAGACAGTTAACAAGAAATCATTTTTGAGAGCAATACGAAAACAAGAGGGGAATTTATGTCTCGATGGAATGTAACCAAAAGCAAACGAAGATCAAAGGATAGGATAGAATTTAGTGTAGAAGTAGCGACAAATATTGTGATTTGTCCATTGAAAACAAAATAGTGAGTGTGAGAATGAGATGAATATTCGAAAAGCATCTCTCATAAAAAAATTGTATTGTCCAAACAGGCACTAGACCCAATTACAGGACACAGAGATCAAAGAAGTTGATGATTGTCAAACATAATATACAGGAATAGGAATAGGAAATATACATACAGTGTGTAACAACGAAAACTTAACAGAGCCGTTTTTTAATATAAAAAGTAAGATTTTTAAAAAAGCTCGAATACGTCGATTTCTAATTAAAGAGGGACACCTTTCAGACTAATCAGATTTTTTGTAGTACGCACCTCCTCGGAGGGGTGCGTCCGACGACGGCGACGACCCTTATTTAGATAGGGAAAGTAGGTCGAGTGGCATCTTGTTTTAAAGGTCTTTCGAATACCTTTACATCTTTGTCAAAAGAAAATTTTTGTAACGATTAGTTTTCGAGATAATTTGAATTTGATAATTTGAACTAATAGTGAAGCAAATGGTCTATAGCTAATTAAAATGTATCAAATTCAAGGGGTGTGTCTTTGAAGACCCATTTCATAAAAATATATCCTTCAGCAACTGACGTAAACTTCCATCCACCATGGCGCTTCAACGTATTCATAGTGCCACAGGGTCTACCGGAAAAATTACTGATACTTATTTGACTTTCCTATGTCTCACTAACCAAGATAGCTGTAGAAGCATATATCTCATCAGCTTCAAACTAATATTTCGTCTTCGTCGATAATGGTAAAAAAACGCACCTTTTATATATTTTTGACACTTTTTGTCTTTGTTTACCTCAAAAACTGATTTCTCATAAGCTCAAGATGAAGTGCATCAAATATTATTGTAATTTTGTACGTATAAATCGTCTCAGTCTGCAAAGTATTTTAATAGTACAGTTTCATAAATATGTTCTGCATTGTTCTGCCATCCAGTTTAGTGATTTTCTTGATTTTTCGGTAGCAAGTTTGGTATTGCTTTTTCCGCTCCGATTGAGGAGATGAAAACGTTCATTATATCTGATGGGGCTACTTTGCAGGGGATAAAATAGAAATTGATGAATGAATAAATATCTTTTGAAGCTTATTTTTCAAACAGACATTGTATTTGTATATTAGTGATGTAATAACGGACTCAAATGACAAAAGTTTGTAATATAGCGGGTACTAATAGATCTGTATGCCTTTGGGTCTGTAAAATCGTCGCTATCAGAGCTCATAAACATCCATTTAATGCCCTTTACCTTTACCTTTACCTTTACACTTAACCATATTTGCGTAATATTGCATGTAAGTCTGATTTTATGGAGAATACATAATGTGAGACATGTTTTCCGTCCAAACTGGAACGGCTTCTAAAAATAACAATTATTGAAAGTCACAGTACATAGTTCATACTTGATGGAGAAGTACGAACCTAAAAACAGATCACTAGTTTTTTTATTTGATGAACAGCATGTGATACTGAAGTTAAGTAATTTTCAATACTCAAAAGGTCGATTTCGTCTCGAGTTTGCAATCAAACAAAGACGTTATCACTGATCCTAAGTTCAATTTAACCTTCCGCATGCCCTGAACACTCACTTGCTGGGATTCCCTAACGTTTCAACCACGTGATCGATCTATCATCGTATCATCGATCGTAATTACAATAATTCTGTAATAGCTAGCAACATCGATTAGTAGCTGATTAGTCGAAGCTCCGGCATGTAACCTACACAATTCATGTAAAAACAAATGACTAAAATTGTCTGTACGTCGACGAGGTAATTTTCAGCCGGTAATAAATAACCCATACTATCGTATGGACCGGTCCAAAGTTGATAACAATTTACTAACTACGTACATGTGTATAAATATAAATATATCGTTGATATTGTTTATTAAAAATATCCCAGTACGTACAATTTTGTTGCAGGTGACACAAAAACGAGAAGCAGAACCACTGGATAACGTTGAATATTTACGATCGGAGTCGGAGCATCACAGACACCTACAAATTATAAACACAGCTGACTGTTTTGAGAGAAAATAAAGCAACCGATATATCTCGGAGAAGTTTGGTTTACCTCTGCGGTAATAATAAAACCCAACGTAAATTCAAAATATTTCTTGCTCTATTTCCAACTGCCAAATTCGGCTTCTCTTGATACCCGAAAAACAAAAATCCTTCTGTGTCGGAATCTATATAGCGCGATTTGATAGCAATAAATCATAAATCACAGGATTATTTCTCAATACATACACAGCACAGCGTCATGACACACGTAAATACGCCGATTCAAAACAAGAATGATGTTTATTCAAGATATATATCCAAATAACTGTGAGGACGAAATTCAAAACATTACCTTTTGAAACGAGTCTACTTGATCCACATTTTCGGCAAATAACCCACGTACACTGTCTTTTATTGAATTAGCATGTTATTTTATTGTTCTAATTTGAATAACAGACGCATGTGACAATTTTATACGCGCTCGGCACGATCTATCAAACACAGATCACATCACACTTCATCTAAACACTTCCCTGGCTTTTTGAAGATTCAAATAAAGTCACATCCTGCGCCTGGACTGACACAACCCGAATAACGCGGTTGCGTCGAAAACTTTGAAGTGGGCTTACAAGAGGGCAGCAGCTGCCAGGCGCACAGGCGTTATTGAATGGTATCTTTTCTCTTCGAACAACTACAGAACAGATATTCCTTGAGGAGAAGGTTTCTGTAAGTTGACAGAGACATTGACTAAATTATGGAGGGTAGGAGAACCATCTCAAGTGGGAATCTAGCTGAAAGTGTCCACTTGTAAAGGATAATTTATAGTTCAAAATTCGACCAAAATGGCGATAATATAAAAGGTGCTATGATATGAATTTAGCGATTAAAGTTCGAATATTTAATATTTCTATTGACTCGAGTTGTTAATGATAAAGAGATTACAGAAATGTAACTATTCACGTATTATTTGGTGAAAATAACCTAACAAGGTTAACATCGAGAAGATAACATCGAAAGTCAATGAATGATTGTGAAATTTAAAACACTTCTGCAAGCGGGGTTTGCCACGTTTGTCTCTTTATTCTTTAACTTTTAATACTTCATTTAAAATTCACACTCTTGCTACAGTGGTGCCTCCCCAATTTATCGGCTTTGGACGGATACTTTCTGATATACAGAGATGGTTATCCACCTCCGCCCAATAAAACATGCGTTCGGTTATTCCACTATTTAAAGAAGCGACAGAAATTTCCTACTCCGAAAAATAATAACATACGCCTAACCAATTGACAAGTGGAGAAATTAAAGGAGAGTATGATAATGTCTGAAGTCTCATGAGATTTAATGATAATGAAATTTGACTATCATACATCAAAATCAGGAAAATTTTACGTCCGTTTTGTTCTTTCGATATCATAATAAAATCAATATTTTTGAGAAGCAATCCAACAACAAAAAATATGGATGAATAACACCGAACTCTGAACTTTAATGGTTGGTTCATGCAACATACCTAATGATTGAGTCTAAGAATGAGAACTCAGAGTTAAACCATAAGAAAGCAACGACAGTTTTCATAGAAACTAAATTAGGACTAAGAAAAATGATCCTGCCAATTAACAACTTGAGTGTTTAGGTCAAAACAAAAATGATCCCCCGCCGAAATTAAATATTTGAAGCTCTTATTAAAACTTGGGAGCTCTTTCAGAGAGACATCTATGTTTCACCATTGGAAGCAATTGAAAGGTATTATGATGCATAGAAACCCTGGTATTTCCACCGATTTCTCTTATTTCAAAAGCTCTCGGCGCGAAGAGATCGACCCAACTTTGTGCACATGTTGATAAAAGGTGCAAAAATGGAATTCTGTAACATTGGTTGTGTCTAGAGAAAGCAAAAAGCGCCGAACATAATGCAACTTTGAAGCGTATTCTGAATTATTGAATAAAACTGGCCGATACTTGATGAAAGTCCATGTTGAAACTAATTAATACAGGGTTTTTGTAAAACCCTTTATAGTGAAAATCATACAATAAACTCTATTAATTAGTTTTTTGAATTCTGAATTATTTCATTTTATCCATACGCTGGATTTGGCGATTATTTGAAGCAGCTCCAATCGACGAACGCTTGATGGCGTATTTTTCCAATTTTATTACGATTCCACATCATTTCACTGTTATTATTCATTTAATTACCGTTTATCATTTGGCTTTCCTTTAATAGTAGTAGGGTGCTTACCGTATCATAATGGTTAATTACTAACGTTATTGCAACATTTGTGGACAATTCATTATAATATCCTGCCAATCGGCGGACAGTCGGACAGGGCTTTTGACATCGATGGCAGGATGTGAGTAAGAACCCTATTTGAAGGTGTGATTAAGAGTCTTGAAATACCATGTTAATGACTCAAGAAGCATTGCCAGCTCGATCAAGCTGGCAGTGAATACAGCTGATATGAGAAATTAACGTTTGACTCTTGACTCTCGAATGCTAATGTTCTTAGTCTAATTTTCAAAACGTAAGGTGTAGTTTATGAAATTTGACATAACAATTGACAGTAGTGGAACAGATATGAAAGATTAAACAGGAAAACCTGGGAGAATAACCTTGAAGTTGAACCCATCTGAAGAAGAGGACGAAACATGAAAACGACTGGTTTAGACAGAGAACCCAGTGCCGTCATTATATGGACGGTCATGTTTTACGTGTTGCATATTTCTATTGTGAAAATTCTGGGAATTGATCTGACACTTGGGTCACTGTGACTTGGTATTGTGACGCAGTGGCCAAGGTGTTGTTTGATTCGCAGGTGGAATTTATGTAAAAGTGATGTCATGCCCAGTCCATATTATAAATGTCTATGAAGCGAATATGATGGGTATTCTTGATTTTTAATGTTTTTGAAAGAGAAACCAAAAAATGGTGCAATAGCGAGAGTGAAATAAATAAATGAGACTGGGCATCAATATGTTCATTGAATAGAGTGGAAATGATTCTCTGCTAAGTTGTGATTCAAGCTATAAAAAACCATTTTGCTGCCTAAACATGATAAGAACACATGAATTGATAGGCGACTTTTCAGCAATTGCTACCTGAAAGGGCTTCGGATATCCAACTGAACTAGGACTAAAATTTACAAATATCTGGAAAAAGAATTTAGGAGTATTTTTGGAGAAACCAGACCTAGTTATTTCAGCATAAAATAATATGATATACATTGATACAAAATTTCACTACATGCATGGAACACTGTCATCCGTAACAGTGTGCTTTAGATCACTATCAATAAACGTCTTTTGCTTAGAATAGGTATGACAATGTTGAGATTTTCGCTGCTATTAATTGTACCATTTTGTATCCTTCTCAGAAAAAAAAGGCTGATATTGCTTGACAATATTAAAATCACTAACAAAAGTAGAGTGATACTACATGAATAGGTTCTTGCTAATGTAACTCTGCGTGCTAGTTTGATAGCGAATCTTTACTGATATATGTGAATATACTATCAACATCCCAATATTAGATACTCACTTTTTACAAATATTGTTTCTTAGCAAAATGTTGTTTTTGATGCTAAAGTAAACTAGCTACCAACCTGAGTGAAATACATTTCTAATCCTTCATCATTAAAACACCAATACTGACATTCTGAAGGTAATATTGTTTGTTAATAGCAGTGATGTTAGAATGTTGCAATTCGATGCATGATCTCATCATGAAAAGAAGAATAAATGCACTAATATTAGTAACAGGAAACTGTTTCAAACTGGGAATTAACATGAATTTTCATCTACATATTGAATTAAAATGAGGTAGATTATGAACCTTTTTTGCCTTTCTATTTCAACATTTAGAATGTTGAAAATTTGTCAAGTTTCATATCGTCACAAATATGTGCATATCATGCAAAGAAGCTTCTTTCCAGGCCATTCTAGAAGAAAAAATCCATCTAAAAGAACCACTTTCCACTATGAATATTAAATCACATGTAAGGTAATTTTTCTTATGCAGTTTGTACACCAAACATTCATTACGGAATAACACATAATATCACAATATGAAAGAAAAAAGGTTTTGGCATTCTATTCCTTCATCTTCATACAATCTACTCATGACATGAGTGCTTCACGTCTTAATGTTATTCGGATTAGAGCTGAAGAGGCAATAAGACAACTGTCGTATTCCAAAAATTCAGATGTCCGCTATTGAGGATGACAGTGTTCCATGTTGGTGAAAATGTACTTCTTTCATATACTATATTGTGTAGCAATCCTGTATGTTCATATGACACTATTTGTTTCGAGAAGGCTTTTTCTTCTTGTTTGTGTCTGAAAGTTACTTCTTTGCATGAAGTACACATCTTTGTAATTAGTACATGGAAGATTCCCACATTTTTTATATAACGATGGAAAAGTAAAAAGCTAATAGGTATCATTAGTTCCCAAAAATATGAAAGACTATTAAAATTAACTGAATAAGAAATAGTTATTTCCTTATCATTCATATGCATCTGAGGAATAGTGAATTTTTTTCTTCCCTTTTTTTATATATTTCCACTCTGTATGTTGATGCTGGAGAAATAGAAATCCAAAGAGGATTTTTCCAGAAGCTAATTTCTCCTAAAAATATTATCTTTTCAATAAATAAAGTTATCTAGATTCGGCGGTTCTAGGATCTTGCACTAATGATTTATACGTTTTGCCCTAGATACTGCATATCCAATTCAACAAGTATTATACACTGAAAAAACTGGGAAACAAATAACTGTATAAGTTTTTTTAACATACATTTCCATTTGAAACTGGAGTAATGGAAAATTTGAGTAATTAATTGAATGGAATTTTGTGATAAAGATTATAATATTTAAACTCCCACTGAATTTCTATCAATCATTTCTTAAAGTACACATTTAGAAATAGATTATGATTATTTCACACCTTCAGTTTTATTTTGATTCAAAAAAACGCTGCTGTACACTTTCTTATAAAACTGGATATTTGAAAATTACTTACATTTGCATTGGAGGTCTTGCAACTTTAAGAAGGAATAAAATATTAAACGCACTAGGAGTGGCATCAACAACTGACTAAATGAAAGATAATATAATAGGAATGGGTCACTAGATTTAAGAATTTCATATATGCAATTTGAATTCAGCGGCAACTTGACGTGAAACGTTGATATCTAAGCCTATAGGTCACGAGCGTCACAAACCAAGTGAAGGACAGAACACAAAATGTTTTGCGTTTAAATGATTTTTTTTCAAGTTCGTTAAAATCAAAAATTTCATTCACTCATATTGATTGCGTTTAAAACAAACCTAATAAAGATATGCTCCAAAAGAATCGCAACTAACCAGGATTTTTGACAGCGACTACGTAAACATTGACGGGATGTCAAGTGTGTTAATGACAAGTCAATAGCTAAATTATTTTCGATGGGTAATTGTAAATCATACACTGTGATGAACATACATCTTGTTGATCGCTTTTGGAATATTGACGATCTTTTGTGGACAGCAATAATACAA